AGGTGGTTGTGAAATACAATCAGGTACAATGTACAGTATACTGTATAAGAACAAGAGACAGCCTGTGCTATGGGGAGATTGCTGAAGCTGTCACTGGTCCCAGTTAATCCTCACCACACAGTTAGATCACTGGGATAACAACATACAACAACACCAGAGCCACACAAAATAAAAACGGAACTGGGTATTTTAAAAAGTGCGCACATTGTGTAGCATACAACGATGCCAAGGCTCAGCTAAGTTAAAAAAATAATAATAACAGATTTCTGCAGTTATGTTTTCTGGGGGTCAACAGGAACTTCGAGCTAATCTAAGTAAAATCATTCAATCTTGACCAATGACGAAGATTACTCCGTACAGCGCCGCCAGTTATTGACGCTGAACCAATGCACTGGCGTATTCAAACACTTCGTTTCTTTTGCCTGAATTACTCACTAATACTGCATCGCCCGTTTCTGTTCTACAAAGGCCATTAATACCCATTTAACAGGTATTGATCGTGCCATTCTGGACTACACAGGCTGCACTCTGGCCGCGATGTAAGACCCCGTTTAACACCAGCATCTCAAATACGGATCATAAATACAGGTTGTTGACTCCATCGCGAACCATCGCTCTCTGCGTTGCTCCTTACTATCACTCACTGCCCAGAAATGAATCGAAAACGCGTCCGCAGTTTTAAAATAAATAAAACGATACCAGTTCATATTTTGCATTTACCTCTGAAGCTCGTTAATTCACTCATGATCTGGTCCGTTTATCCAGCTGCGGGCGACTTGACGCGATAAGTAATGAGACAGGCGATAGAGGAGCAGTTAGCATATATTTAAAGTAAATAATCAATTACGGCTGAACTGGTCGAAAACTGGTCGGGTAAATTTGACAAAATACTTCTAAATTGGCACGTTACTGGTAGAGACATAAAACATGCTTATGGAACACAACATACGCGGAATTTCTGTAAGTCCTTTTCGCTTCGATTATAAGGACCCAAGATCAACCAAGTTAAAAAGCTTTTTATCATAATATATGTGAAAGCGCTGAAGAACACCAATCGTATTTTTAATTAATTTAAAACTATCGCGCTTTATGAACATGTACGGCGTAAATTTAGGAAGGGTGCACGTGTGTCAGTTTATATGTTTAGATCGTTATTTGCTGACGGTAACTGAAATAGCAGGTGCACAGACAGCGCATGTATGCTTGTGCCCCTTCTGAGAAAGCCCGTGTGCTTGTGCAAGAAAGACAGAGAGAGATTTAAAATGGAATTGACGTTGCGCGCAGGTAAAAACTTTCTGTGCAGAGATTTACGGGGGAGATCCCAGGCTCTTGTCACGAATAAAGGGATTTGAGGGGAATCAAGGAGAGATGGTGAAAATTAAAAGAGTGGGCCGGTCCCTTTAAAGCAGGTATCTAATTCGGTGAAGGAAGAAAAAAAACTGTAAGATGAAGGGTCCGCTAATAACATGTCTAAGAGAGGCTCCTGGCAAATTGCTTTGTTATTCTTGTCAAAAAGGTCCCCAGGAAGCAGTCAATTTTAAACCATACATCAAAATGATTAATTGCCCTTAAACGAGCAGATGCTGGAATACCCTTGAATGGAGGCTGAAAGGCTAAAGCTTTTTGGATTGCAAACGTAATGTATTCATGAAGTTGCAGAAACATCATTAGGACTATTAATTAGCTATTACCGACCAACATTAGCTGGCTCCGAGGTACCTTTGTGTGTGTGTGTGTATGTCTATATATTTATATAGCCTACATGCACACACTTGGTATTTTCTTCCAAAGTCGGTGAGAGGATGCCCATTTTTCCAGCTCTTTTGCGTAAATAACACAAAGTCATGATGATTGTCTTGCTTTAAAAGGCAAAGATAGTGGGATCTGGTCAAGCAGCCACTAAAGTTTCACCTGACGCGCCCCGGCCCGTTTGTTTGCCATAGCGCTTCTAAGGGTATGAATATAATACTACGCTACCGAGGTGTCAGTCCATTTCTCTCTGTGAAAATACCAAAATGTTCTCAATCTTTTTTTTTTTTTTTTAAAAAAACAACATGTTTAAAATCAGCAACGCAACAGAAAAGTTTGTGCTCACTGCAGAGAAACGAGAAAAGAAAGCGAATCAAAAGTCAAAGATGAAAGTAAAACAAAGAACGAAACAAATACGTAATAAACCGGAGAGGAGGGGCCCTCACAGCAGCAGAGACACACTAACAGCAACCCCGATTGACACTCGCCTTTAAACCTTTCAGATGCGCTGGACATTATTCCGCCTTAAGTCCCGCAGAAAGCTGCTTTGAGGAAGAGGCGCTGAGATGAATTCCTTCTCGCTTTAATTGCTTAAGAAACGGTTCCCACAAAGAGACACTGGCCAGATTTACCTCCCGTTTAAGTTCTTATTTCCATCGGTTCACAAGTTAATCCCTCTTTCTCTCTCAGACCCAAATACTCGCTGATATATGGGGACGACAAAAGACGGACAGCAGCACTATTTTGGTTGTGAGGAATAACAAACTTCCAATACGAACAAACAGTACAGGAAAAACTTTCGGCAATGATAAAAATATCAAACAGTAAAATAGCTGAAAAGGACAGTAGAGAAATCCATCCACTTACAGTCAGTCTGCTAATGAAAACGTATATATATATATATATATATATATATATATATATATATATATATATACATTTAAATATGATGTATGCCGTTATAAATACACATACATACATATAAATTCTATTATACTATTTTGTTATTTTACTTATATTGCTGAACGCAATGCGTTTATTTTTTTCTGTAAAAATGGCATTAACATGTACAAAGAACAGTCACGATTGTCAAAAATTGCAGATGCTGAAAAACAGGTTTTTAACGGCATTGATTTTATTTCTCACATTTACAATTTAAATTAAGTTTATTTACATTCTTACATATTTCTTTTATTTGTTAAAAATCTCTCGTACAATAAAATCTTATCAAAGGGCAAGGATATTTAATTTAAATATATCTAAATTTATTTGCATGCAAATATTTATCCGATTAATGTTTTATTACCGCTTTGAGTTTTCGTACCTGCGCTGGTACGCAAATATAAATATATATATTCACGAAATGATTGTACATCGAGGCTCCATGTCGCGATTCGGGCAACCTGTTGGACTTTTATTTACCGTTTTACCGAGGTTTTCTTCGCTTAGTTGACCAACCAGCTGTCAAACTTATGATCCATTTTGCTACTCTATGCCAGTGATTTGTATTTCTGTTTACTTAATATAATAATAATAATAATAATAATAATAATAATAATAATAATAATAATAAACCGTTCGGTTTACTTTTGTGTATTTTGTTACTGTTAGAAGCAAAGACAAAACTTCATCGCCAACTTATGGTAACATATTAAACGTAAATTACTATAAAAATATTATTACAGCTTGTAGTATCCAAATTATAACATAAAATATTATCGTAAAAGCGCGGGATTTATATTCCATAGTTGAGGGGTAGGAGTTATTCAGCTCATTATACACTAAAAGCATGTAGTAATAATTTGAGCGATGAAGAGTATTGGAAATTTTATTAATGTGTTTTTATTTATTTACTAGATTGTTTATTTTAGGTCTACACTTGCTGATTTTGCAGGACTGTCGCGAGCCACCGCCACCGTGCACGTTATCTCACCTATGCGCCCTGGCCAAGCTGCCATTGTGATCACTGTGCTCCTTAAACTATATGCGTTTTAGCGGTCAACCCTGAATACTGCAAAACAGTAAATGAGATTTTACTGTGAAAGACGGATACCCTAGAAACACTGTTCATATTATGACAACAAAGTTGCAGCATCCGATCGCCCGGTCCACTGCAGCCTTTCTGCCGGAAGGACATGTGGACGCAGCGTGGGGTGAATACGGCAATATTCTGCCTTGCATCTGATGTTTTGTCTGCAAGAGAAAATCCTCTAGAAGAAAAAAAAATCGCTACCAAAGATATAATTCAGTTTAAGATTTTCACCCTGCCTCTCTTCTAGAAGAATTTCAACAAAATATGCAAGCTTTACATTAAAAGGCTACTTTTCGCTGCCCTTAATTCCAACCTAAACGGTTTTGCTTCGGGAGAAGAAATCTTTTCTGAAAAACCCTTCAAGAAAAGAACGGTATTATTGTTTTAATCCTCTTACCAGCAGTCATTTTAAGACAGGGGTTTTTGGAGGCTGAAATGGCGTCTTGTCTCCCCAATCCTATCCTAAATCCTTCAGGGCCGGGAGAGATTCTAAAGGCACTACCCTGGCATCTATTAACGATCTCTCTAAAGGCCTTCCACCGCGCTTTCTCCTGCGATGGCATGACAAAGCCGAAAAGCAAATAAAACGCACGCATGAGTTATTCAGCTCACTATACACTAAAGACCTGGAACCATGTAACTACCAAATAGCAATATATGTATATACACATTATATACCTGAATTTAACAATGACAAATGTAACCAAATAACTCTGCAAATATCTAAATAAGATTTGTTTACAAAATGATATAATTTACATTTACCTCTTCGTGAAGGATGCAACCGAATAAAAGACAAACGCGATCGCATCGCCCAGAACAAATCTATTAGATTGATGTCCGCCACGTTTTATCATATAAAGCACAGGTACCTGCAAAAAAAGTTGTGACGCCGTTAAGTGTTGGCCGAAAAAAGTTGGTTAGATTACAAATGCTTGTTCCTGAGTTGAAGACTTTAGGGGAACCATGTAATCCCGTCCCAAACAGATCACTTGGAACGTGAGGCTTGGTTTGAATTATGCATCCAACTTCTGCATTTATATAATAACATAACAGAAACCGATGTTACTTGTACATGGTGCGTAATAATTTAAACAGAAAATACTTAATGTTATTCCTCGATTACACAATATTTTAAAATAATATTTTTCTTTAAATTAAAATAAGTTTTGTTAATATCATAATTACATATTCTGTTTATTTTGTTGTATATGTAAAATTTAAGATTTACATTTTAAAACAATGAGTTAGATGATTTACAGCATGGAAACGTGGAAATGCATACATCTTGCAAGTATACATCCCTGGTAAACTGAAAGTCTAACGAAGACTTGAATTAGAACAGTTGCGACACCCAGGAATTGCACAGAATTCTCAAAGTGATGCTTAACGCGCGTGTACGCGGCAGGTGACTTAATTTCGTTCGTAAATGTAAATTTGTATTAGTAGCATCTTCAGGGATGTCGCTGAGATCAGTATTTACAAACAGATGATTTAAGAACTTAAGCAGAGGTATGGAGTAGACGTCTAAGAAGAGAGGAAAATGTCCCCCCTCGTTTGATTGACAGAGCAAAGGACCACTCGAAGGCTAGCATGACCTCACGAAGCGCTCTTTAAAATCCTTCCTCAATCCCAAGGCCGATAGATGGCAGTTTCCTGTCCTCTGCGACGCGCAAAACCACCGGATAGAGAAACGCACAGCATCAGAGTGCAAAGCTTGAGAGACTGCTGCTCTGGATGGACTTGCCAACGTGTAAAAGCAAATGAACATTCAGGAATAATTCAGGAAAATAATCCCACTGGTTTATCACCAGAGCGACGTTCGGCATAAGAAAAGGATACAAACAGCACAGAAGTGAGAGCGGTGAGAAGAGAGAGTTTCAGCAGGTAAGAACTTCTTGGATTACTTCCCCTAATAGATAGCCTAAGCAAAGGTAAAAATAAGATTTCAAATATTAAAGTTTTATAAAATATGCTGTTATAAAGGTATGCAAGAATTCCTCTCACGGATAAATTATATAGCAAGTATTTAGAAAAAAAGGTTGCTTTCGTAATGGGTATTGATTTCGAGTTCACCCTAAAAAATCTTGTCTTATAAAAAAATCAATATAAAACTATTACCCTAATGTTTATTTAAAATGTCTTATAAAGTACGATTATTTTATTAATTCACATGACAGAGAAAAGTTACTAAAATACACTGTATACATTATATCTGTGGTAAGGTACTGGATTTTTTATTCGGCAGAATAATTGGTATTTACCGACATATTATGTATATTTTTATTTAAAAAATGCCGAAGACCTACCCCGGACACCTTAAATAAACAGCGCGCAAATGAAGATTATATGTAACATATTGCTACTTATATATTTTAGCTGGGTAAACAGCACAAATATTTTTATTACTTTTCCGAAATGCTTTTATTACAGGACATAAATCAAGACAACAGATGGTATAAGTGAAGTAATACAGTTATGAATCGGTTCTAAAACTACTTCGGCTTGGTATTCCAATGACCTTCATTAAGGCATTTTTGGTAAATTGCATTTTTAATAAAGTGCAAATTATCTTAAAAATTACAACATTATATAAACAATTTCTTGTAGAAAAATTGTCACAGGTTCGTGATGACATAAGTTTGTCACATTGTCCCTGTTCAGCGTGTTGACTAGATGACACGTAACCCATTTTCTAAGTACTGCTTCCAGCTATTAAAGGAGAGACGGTAGCTACGGCACAATCAAATTATTATCGTAAACACTGAAATATTATTAATTGTTAAATTATTTGTTATGTAACGACAGAGAGCACTGGATTAGGAAACGTAGTACATTAGTTTTATAAAAATGATGGACTGTAACTAATTGTATCAATAAAGACGACAAGCATTTAATTTGATAGCGATGAGGGTGACATTTGCCCCTTTCCCTTGGAAATCACTAATCACGCGCTTGCCTGGCTGCCATTGACACTTCAGAATACAAATACGCGAACAGCAGATATGCCGCCGAGTCGCCCGCGGCCACGGGGCCCCTTAACAATAACATTTTTCCTAATTTAGTCAGATCAAAGACTTGCACTGTAAATCCATGCCAATTTACATAATGACGCTTTAATAATCGAACAGCACGGCTGGCTGCACCCTGGGGCATACAGACAGCGCCCAGAGCAAGTATGGATGGATAAATGGACAACAATGGCGGACACATTACATTCATAATGTGCCCTTTTGTGTTAAATATCAATATGATCTCGTCTTAGTTCCCCTTGTCAATATTATTTGATCATCTCTTCAGACTTCTTAGACTAAATATCCCTGTGAAAGTAGTGAATTGTTACACATGTCTCTTTCCTTTTAACGTTGCCTGTATGTGGTATGTGGTTGGAGTGATTCACGCGCTTCTGGGCTGCGCGCATGAACACACACTCCCACACACTCTCTCACACTTACTCACTCAATCTCTCTCTCTCTCTCTCCCTCACACACACACACACACACACACACCAGTGTAATAGAGTCCACTGTACGTCTGTGTCAGCGCTGATGATAAATGAGGGGCCCCGCAGTCGAAACCTATTTGCGCCTCCATTAGATGGAGACCCCAAATGGGGATCAACATGCATATTTTACAGCAGAGATCCCATACATCTTAGCCACGCGCAGGCCCCGGGCAATGGGATGGGGGGCCGCGAGAAAAAGAGGGAGAACGGATCCCATTCAACTCAAATACTTAGGGAGCAAAGTAAATGTTTAGCAAAGTACCTTCTGTCCAAGCGAATTAAGCTATTCCCCCTTGCGCTATGATCACATTTATCAGACATTGCCGGGACTTAATAGGTTAGAAATGTGCACCGCGGGTGTCATTCAAACGCACTGCTCTCTCGCACAGTCGAATATACACATTTTCAAAAGTGGACTTCTGCGCCGAAAAGATCCCCTGCCTCAAATATTCTTTGGCAGCACATTAAATCCGTGAAAACTATCCATACTGTACAGCTCGAGAAGGAAACGCCAGAGAACATTAAAATACCGGCGCGTCTGGGACCACGCGCCACATACTTTAAATCACGTACATTGATTGGCAAAACATTTCAAATCACGAATGTATTCATGTACATTTAAAAAGGCAAATCTCTGCGCAGCTCAGTGTTTGTAAACATATTAATAACGATAGGTAACGTGTAATTAAAAGGTGAAATAAACGCTGTTAACAACAACAATACACATTCTTGAAATCAAATCAAAATATGAGCGATTGGCATAATTATAACTATTAGTAATATCATAAATAATTTTGATAGTGATAATAAAGAGCAACTCCTCTGCGTCCCACAGTCATGTAAATTAAACACTAAAATATACTTCAATTACTGAGCAGTAGAGGGCCAGAGGAGTCAATCTGTGGACACTAAGAGTTAATTGAAAATATGCGAACGTGCAATTACAGGTTAAAATTCAATTAGCATAATATCAGCGACGTGGTTTTCTTATAAATGAAGCCAAAGCAACCCAGTACCACCTAGTTTGTTTTTGTATGTAGCTATAGTGTTTCAAATGGATTTTATTGGAGTGCCCGTATTTCCAGGAAATGGTTATCATTTTCCCTTGTTCCCTATAATCTTTGCCCGTTGTGTTTAACTCAGGCGATTGCCCTAATTTCTCTAACCTCTACTGACATTTTTGCTGTTAAATTCAGGCACACAAATGCTGGCTATTGTTGAAACGGGAGCGCCCTGCGAAAGCCCTGGGGACTGGGCTGGAAACCCGCTTGACTCCCAAATAAAACATTGAATTAATCAAGATGGACACAATCTAAATGCTTATATGCATCTGCTGCACACACAAGCGCGCAAAAATATTTTAAAAGTATTTCCCACGCTAAATGACATTTAATGACAGTATTACAGGACATCCATTTGCCCGTAACCACATAAAAGTGCCATTTTCTGTAACCCATTTAAGTGACCGTGGGACATTTGTAATTATCTTTCACCTGCAACTGGAAAAATATGCCAATTAATACAAATGAGGTTATTTAAATGTTAAGTTCCTTGTGGGACAAAAGCTGAATTAAATACATATTTTAATATAGAAAATAAAAGACGTTCTACCCTAGGATATGTATAGTATATTAATCCTGTTTGAAGAACCAGAATTACATCGTCAAGTCAGCGCACTTCTCATTATTTTAATAGCGTACGATCGACAAAATGTGCTTTAATTTCTGGCCATTGTAAAAAAAAAAATTAAAAAAAAAATCTTTAAAAAAACCAAGTAAAAATAAAATGAAATTAACATACAATTTAAACAATGATTTAATGTAATTTAACAAAAAAAAATCTTTAAGTAAAAAGGAAACACGCGTGAAACATAAATGTATTCCGTTAAAACCAGAAAATATTTTACAATTTTGCAATTTAAGGCACAATCCCCGGCCTTTCTCCCAGGCTGCCGTCCCCAGACACCTGACGGACATTGAAGATTTATACATTTTCCTCCCGGTCTTCTAACAGTCCAAGTGATTGGGGCTCCAAGATATTTCTTCTTGCCAAGAACCGCAATAGTAATGCATATGTAACAATGACCCGCAGCTATACATTTTAACATCTGTATCTTAAACCCATTTCAGATGTACCGCACTCCAGGATACAGACTAGCAGAAGATGCGATTTTCTATAACGATATTTTATTAAATAAAAACATTTTTTCTAAATACTTATTAAAATATCGACGACGTTCGTGTTATTTTTATAACACTACCCGTATAATTTTGTACTCCGAAGTTAAAACTAAAAAATATATTATCGGTTGAAAGAAACATTTTGTTTTAAGTGTAACACACATTTCTACAATGCCCGGTGTATCCTGATGTATTTATTGCCGGACTCGCTGCCCTTAATGGCCCTATTGTAAAACACTTGATTTCTCGCAGGCGTCATGCCAGCATTGATTTCATCTTGGCACCATGTCTTTGGCGATAGCCGCTTTTACGCTGAACTTAATACGATTTTCAAATAGCATTTCATTAATGCATTGATTTTATAAGTAATGTTATCAAGGGGATTTGTGCAACCACAATCAAACGGATATGCAGTGATTAAATTCTCACAAAAAACACCAGTCACACTACATTAACTTAAAGAAAGGTAATTATCCCAATTAGGATCCTGTGTAATTAATGGATTCAGCTAAGCAATAATTGGATGTTAATGGATAACGGTATTGTCTGAGACAAGATTTAACTTCTCCGTCTTATTTCCTTTTTTTTTTTTTTAACGAGGGGGCTCTATATTAACTGTAAATGAGACGCGTTGATTTTTCAGGAAATAGCAACGAGTATTATTCTGGCACTCTGGAGTCCGCAAAACTCGCAGAGTTAAATTGGCGACAGTTCCCATTTTAAGCAGAAACGGGCAATATTACACGCAGGTCAGTGACATTACATTCAGAGCCTCGTGCAGAATAAAGGACGGTTCACGGGGGACTGGTTTGCACTGATAAGTGTGGGACAGATTCAGCGAGCTCTGGAAAGAGAAGAGGTCGAATGAACCTTCGGGCTTCCAGTAGGAGGCACTATACAACTAGGGGAATCCTGAACGAATCACATTTAGTACACTGGCATTTAAAAAAGATACGTTTCCCCCAGAGTACACATAACATTATATAAATAAAGGCGTTTAATTATGTACCAGCTACCGACTGGGCACAAGATCTATTTGTTACAAAGAAGATTAACACTGTGAATTGAAGACTGTCTTGGGTCTGGTAAATTGAAACCGCTGTCGGCAAGGATCACTTTCCCCTCCTGCTTAATGACATATAAAGGCGGTTTAACAACAGTAAACATAATTTGTCTAAAAAGCAGTTACGCCGCTCCGATGACAAATTGCTTTCTAATTTCAACATTAACAAAAATGCTTACGTTCGTATTCTATTAATCATCAAACGAGTTGCTTTTGGTGTTGTCAGCACACCTTACAGATCAAACATTAAGCCACATTTAGAAGCTTAAAACTACGCTTAATAAACGCAAGTACGGCGCCCTGCTGTGGACCACGGTTAAAGGAAGGGATATTAAAGGATGACTGTATTTCAAACGCACTTTGTTGCTTTCTAAAGCAGCGTTTTCCCACCAGGTAACGGCCGACATGCAGCACTACGGGGTGAACGGCTATTCTCTGCACGCCATGAACTCTCTGAGCGCAATGTACAACCTCCACCAGCAGGCGGCGCAGCAGGCGCAGCACGCCCCCGACTACCGGCCTTCCGTGCACGCGCTCACCCTGGCGGAGAGACTGGCTGGTAAGAGACATTGCACAGCCCCGGAACGATAGGCCACACTAAGGGACAACAGAATGTCCCTGTCAGGGATGCCAGCACAGAGATGAAGCAGATATTCCTGCATGGTACCTGTACAGACTTTTAGACACGCGCGCTGCTACGTGTACTCATGTTCTAAAAAATAATCCAATACCAAAACAACTCATATTATATACTCTTATAAGAAATGTTATTAATGATTTCCGAATATAAAATATTACAAAATAATACTTTATAAAGCAAAACGTAGTTGTTTAAAGCACGTTTGAATACTCTTTAAGAGCGTATCTTTAGATTCAATCAATATTTTCGCCAGTCACACAGACACAGATAGATTAAATGGGACGACAATTCAGACCCCTTCGTTAAACTGGCCATCGTCTTTTTTTCCATTCCAACGGCTGCACATTTCAAGACATCATCCTGGAAGCTCGCTACGGGTCGCAGCATCGCAAGCAGCGGCGCAGCCGCACGGCCTTCACCGCTCAGCAGCTGGAGGCCCTGGAGAAGACCTTCCAGAAGACGCACTATCCAGACGTGGTGATGCGGGAGCGCCTGGCCATGTGCACCAACCTCCCCGAGGCCAGAGTCCAGGTATGCAGCGATCCAAGAGGGAAGCTTTACGGGATTTTAAACGGATTTAACGTGACAGGCTACGCAAAAAGCGGAACTGAAACCGTATGGGTGATACAGAACTTCTATGTGCAAACATTTCGTCCTCTTACCGATTTTTTTTCGCATTTCAATAAATTCGTTAAACTCAGAATTAACCATTGCATGAACACATCGCTTACAAGACAGATCTCAACCATAAAGCTGCGTGTTATCGAAAACGATACTTGTGCTCAATACTGGTAATTTACGTTTATTGTCATTTTAATGTGATATTAGGCTAAATGTCATTATAACTGCAAATCGGAAAAGATGAACAGTACAATCACTTCATAAGTTTTGGGACTGACAGACAAACAAGGCCATTTCAGAACCTGTTGCTGTTCATTTCCCTTCCATTTGCCCTTTTCCCCTGCCAGAGAAATCCCCTGTCATGCTTCAGTATAACTGAAGACGTGATTTAAAAAGGGGCCCTTTTTTCCTTGAACATTTGTAATGATCAGCCTGAACCTACTTCGAAAGCTTGTCTTTCCCCCAAGGTGTGGTTCAAGAACCGACGTGCCAAGTTCCGCAAAAAGCAGCGCAGCTTGCAGAAGGAGCAGCTGCAGAAGCAGAAGGAGGTCACGGAGGGCGCACTGGAGGAAGTCAAGGGCGAGCCTCCTGCCGCCAGCACGTCCGACGCCCACACGCCTCCCTCCTCCACCTCGTCCCCCTCCGAGGCAGAGGGACCTCCGCACCCCCTGCCGGCAGAGCTTAGCGTGGAGGTTAACGTCACCTCGGCCGAGCAGTCGGGCAGCGAATCGGCCACAGAGGACAACACAGACAAGGAAGAGGAACCCAAGGGGGACAAGGGGCTGCTGCCTGGACACAAGTCGCCGCCCTGCAAAAGGCTCAGCCCCAAAGCAGGTAGGGAAGCCCCCCCATCCACATCACATCACATCACTCAGAATGATCCACAAGAGTGATAATCAGTGTTGCCCTTTCATCATAATTGGGGTGTACCCTGTCACATGCGTCATTTATATCCATGCATATAGATGTATGCGTATTCCAATGTGAAAGTGAAAATCCTCTATTCACAATCACTGTGAATTTGTGTCTCATTATGTCATGAATCTAGAACAACATCACCTGGCTTTTGCAAGCAAAAAAATCAGTAACTAACTAGAAACAACTGACAAATAAATCCATTTTATAATGTTTATGGTGCTGGTAACATGCAGTATGTTGTTCAGGGGAACTAAAGAATAACCATCTGAAAACCTAGAACCCAAGGTCCACCTTACTGCCCATACACCGATTCAAGAATCATCTCCATGTGATCCATACATGTCGTCCTCTCTGCCCCACAGATTCACCGCTTGGCTCTCCGGCCATCCCATGTTCCAGCGGCATAAATGGTGGGATAGCGCAGAACCACTCATACTCCTCCTCCCCGCTCAGCCTCTTCCGTCTGCAGGAGCAGTTTCGCCAGCACATGGCTGCCACCAACAACCTGGTGCATTACTCGTCCTTCGACATGGGCACGCCCTCCTCTGTGCCCTACCTGGGCATGAATGTCAACATGCCGGCGCCTCTGGGCTCGCTGCCCTGCCAGCCGTACTACCAGTCCCTGTCCCATGCTCAGCAGGTCTGGAACAACCCGCTGCTCCAGGCCTCAGGTGGTCTGCCCAGCCTCAACAGCAAGACCACCAGCATCGAGAACCTTCGACTCCGTGCCAAGCAGCACGCCGCGTCTCTGGGCCTAGACACACTGCCCAACTGACCCCACAGGACGGTGGCCAAGCTGGCAGCCAGACCGACCCCCCCCCCAGCCTCATACCCAAATACTCAAGCCTATCAGCTGGATCCAGGACACTGTCCCAGTCTCGCAACTGGATCCAGGACACTGTCCCAGTCTCGCAACTGGAACCAGGACACTGTCCCAGTCTCGCAACTGGATCCAGGACACTGTCCCAGTCTCGCAACTCATTGTCTTCAACCTCACCCTTCTGCACTGACTGTACACTCTCTCTATTTCATCTGATAACGCAAACATATTAATGATCACAAAATATTGCTATGAAAGCTGAGAATATTGCCCTCTAAAAAGAATGATTATTATTTCTGCTCTGCAATTAGCTACTTTTCATGAGGCTTTTTCTCACTAAATCTCTGTGTCGTAGCCTACAAGACCAGGCCTCAGTTAGGACCCCCTCCGCTTTGTACATAGCCAGTCCCGTCTGTTCCTCCTTTCCTGGTTAGCGAGTATCAGTTAGTGTTGCCTTCCATGAAGAAGATATATCCCCATTTGAGACATTTCTCCCGTGTTCATAACAAAAAAACGACTCAATTATTTAAATATCAAGGGAATTCAGACCCAAAATACAGTTAGGCTAAGCCAGAGGACACAATTTCTAGTCCTGTTATACTGAAAAACCAGCCTAGCTGCATATCTGTTGAACGCATCATCATAAATCCAAGCCATGTATTTCCTGGTTGTCTAATTAAATGTAACTAATTTATCTGTTTTACAGCCGGGATTAAAACCACTTACATGGAGAATGACTTGGTAATGAGAAAACAATTTCAGTACTAAATATGCGAGCTCTTAATTACATTTTGCCTGGGGTAACAGCAAATTATGCCATTATCATATTAAGCTGTGCATAACTTTGAAGTCACACGTAAATGTCATTTATTGCACAAAAAGAATCTCCTCCATGTTTGGTATCACTTCGTGGAATCGAGTGGAAAAGGACTTAAGGATATAAAAACAAAAATTATTGCAGCAATTATGGTCACAGTCATATAAAACCAAGTAAGTTAATGAAGATTATAAACTTATTATGGCTACACACAGTCCTGAGAACCCTCTGGAAGCTCCATGCACCATCTTTATGGGCTGATGGACAGCTGAATGCCGCACTTCCTCTGGGGACAGGAAGTTCCCTATGAAGCACTTCCTGGAACCAGGTCTTATCCTGCCATGCCTGTTCTGTGTCCGTTTCTCCTTGTCGAGGACCCTGCGTTCATCAACTAAAATTATGTAAATTATTTTATATGTAAATTAAGAAGAAGAATCTTTATCTGTAAATGTTATCCAATAAGGGAAATGTATTGTCATCAGTGGTTGTAGATGGAGAAAACTCATTTGGATGGGTGATCTTGTAGCTGTTCTTAGTAAGATTGTATTGAGTTGGCAACAGTCTGCACCTTACCCTCTGAACTCTATAAATACAACTTTGATGTATCTGTAAGTACTTCTATTGATTTCCATTGTGACTGTGGTCATAGGGAGGAATCGTTATGGTTAACCACAGGGTCGTCACACCAAGTGACAAATTCATAGTGTGATGGGGTGGAAATTTATTTGAGCTCAAAAGGTTTTCCTAACTTAACAAAGTAGGTTTTCAGAGTAAAATGTTGTAAAAGAAAAGTACTCAATAAAGCATAATTTGAAGGTCTTTGGACACAAGTTTGTTTTTGTCTGTTGTCAGTCATGTTTTTGTTCAGTAAGGCAATCATTTCAAAACAAAAGAATATATACACTTTTGTACCCACAAGTGATACACAAAGAGAGGTGACCCACAGCACCACAAAAGAAAAACATTTCCATCCACTGGTCCACACAAATAACCACACTCTGTACACCAGTAAAAACAGACACTCCTTTCGGGCAACCATCCGCCTTTTACATGGGAGTACCGTCTAGCCTCAGTGAGAGCCTGGCTGCAGGCCAGACCTGTTTGACTGGGCCGAGAAACAGCGGAGCTCCAGTCATGATGGGTGAAGGCACTATGCAGACATGCGGAGCTGTCAGGCCCCAGCTGCCATGACAGCTTTCACCAGGTTCATTCAATGTGCTGAATGAGGCATGAGACATGAATCGTGTGCAAGTACATTCGGAATAGGACACTTCACCATACCATGTAATTATAGCGGACTAGCACTAAGGAGTTTATGTAACTTGTGTTTTCTTTCTCATTAATACAGAATAAACAACACACTTTTACTTTGACAAAGATATATTTAGAGAGAAGGACAACAGCGTTTGTCATAACAGTTAAGAGGCAGCGCGGTTAACAGGAAAGCGCGGTCATGAGGGCGGCTGCGCCGCAGTTAACTGCTGCAGGATGCGTTACTGAAGCGGTGGCCGCTTTAGGGGGGTTGACTTTCACTCTCTCCGGTATAATATCGCGTAACTTTCACTGTTTCCGGTAATTGACTGGGTGACTGTTACTGCTTCAGGTGACTGACAGCGTGACTGACACGTTAACTTTTGCTGTTTTACACGAATGGGCAGTTTATTGTTATTGTATCAGGTGTATGACACGTTAACTTTAGCCAGTTTACATCAATTGCCGGTTAACTTTTTCTGGTTCTCATGAATGATCTTCCCATTCTTAACTTACTATGGCGTTAATCCACATTTGACGTCCATTTAAGACAAAATACACCAACTTGGCTCTACCACACGATTAATAAAGTGCCGGACTGGGTTTGTCTGTGTTTTAGGCGAATAATCGTCAATGACGTTTAAGCGCAGTGCCAAAGACTAGCGGTTTTATTTAGGTTTTAAATGGAGTTAAGTCACACCATCCTCCATCACTATCAGTGTCTCGGACACAAATACGGAAAGAGAAATAAACCGTTAAATCAAATAAACCTTTGTGGGAGAGATTGCCCTCTTTAACCAAGATGTCGGTTTCCATTGCATCACCTGCATACAAGGTTGTTCCTTTAAGCTCCAGTGCTCATTGATTGTTGATTGAGAACTTATTAAATGTAATGAGTAAAGCAGTGGCAGATAACTTTGGTAATGGCTGCGAGAATGGAACGCAATTCAGTGTTATTAATTACAGCTTTGTGAAACGCTTTTTACTAAGTAGTGTTATTTACAGCCTGGGGGAGAGTTTTTGTGCACGACGTTGGCAAACAGCAGAGTGTTTACGTCCTGCTATCATGGCAAATAAGTGTGGCTTCCATCTTGTGTCCATCCAACTAAACGGAGATGATTCCACCCAAATGTTCAATTTCAGGGGTAATACTCAAGCAACTGAGCCAGAGTGTCCTAACGGCCCCATCGGATTGAAGGTTATGAGAGCTAATGCACAACGCAGCACGGCTCCACCTGCCAGGTGATGGAGGCGCGACTCAGCCGCCACGATCTGCCGGCGGAATCAGGGCAGCCAGCGGGGCGGCGCCGCCGGCCATTCCCACGACTCTTTATACCCATTCCTGCAGCCATTAGCCCCCCCGGTGGAGGTCAAGGAAACAACCTGCAGAAAAGGGGCGAGCAGGGCAGATTAACGGAGGGCTGATGTTCGTTTAAAATAAGAAAGCAGAGGCTAAGCGGCAGCGGCGTTGTTCAGTGAGCCGGCTGTGCACCGTGGCAGACGGCACTGGGGGAGGAGGGGCCTAATAATGACCTTAATGTACTGCGGCTTCCCCGCTTGTGTCCTGGATTAGGAGTCACGTCTTCCGGACAAGTGCCGTTCTTTTCCTTCCCTTTACAGGTGTTTCTATTCTCAGACTCCAGGTGAAAGTGACCCCCCCGCACCCCACCCCCATAGGCATCTACTGGATCTGAGCCCCCCCCCCCCCCCCATGCAGGCGGCCAGCTTGCCACGCAGCCTTATAGCCAAATTGGTTTACATTAAAGAGATAAATGTGCTGCAAATGCGCTTAAGAATGGACAGTGGAAATGCAGACGATGCATGGAGGACTTAGTGTGCGAGTCGGGAGGGGAATAATGAGCGTTTATGCAGCAGAAAGCGGGAGGCGCGGGAGAAAGGATGCTGATGCAGCCTGGCCCTCATCCTCCTCCGTGAGATTTGGGATCTGCGTGCCAGGCCCCATTTCCCTACATTATGTAACTTTATCGCAGGCAGTCAAACTCCTGCTGTACTGTGAAAGGGTTGTTTTGTTTGGCACCTGAAAGGCGTCGGTGTCGCCGGTGAGGTCCTGTCGGCTGGCGGGGCACGCGGTGACGAAAAAGCAAAACTGTCCCCCAGCGCTGAGCAGCCAGGTAGCAGCGGAAGATTTTATTCGGGAGCTCTGATAGAGAGGGACAGCCCCCCCCCGTTGCGGCGAAGCCTAGCCTAACACAGGTTCATATCCGCTAAACTAGATGTGCAGCAGCTGCTTCATGAGAGCTGCTGGGGGAGCAGAGGTGACGTCGAGTGCCTTCCCAGCGACCCCTAAGCAGGGCACATGGCTACCAGGGAAAACCAGGTGAGGGTTAAAGTTATTATTCCTGATCGCATTGATCTTGGAGCCCTACACTAGCAGGCAGAATCTCCTGGAATGACCAGCCGTGATGGATATCCTAGTGCAGGTTCAGGGCCACTGGCCTCGTGCGGAATAATGATCTGTTTACGTATTAATTGCAACAATTAAGTGGATAAATCCAGTGGGGTAATAAACAGCAAAAAGGGAGTCTGAGACCCCCACACCTCCCACGAAGCCCTCTTCCCATTTCAGTCCCACGTAGGAACGTCCCTTTGTTCTGATCCTTCTACACTACCAGTACTTATTGTGTGTGGTGCATAAAACTATAAAAATCAGCGGCGGAAAACCTATTACAGGAATCACGTCGCTCGGAAGGGAAGGGAGGGAGCAAAGACGTGAACGGCAGAGAGTGGGAAGGCAGGATGGGGAGAAGAGCGAGATAATCTTGTGAAATAAAATACATGTAAGGACGTAAGCCGTCCCCGGTGAATAAGCAGCCTATTATGGTGAAGAATGAGAGCCGGGGGCAGTGATTATCCCGTTATTATATCTTAAACAGCGTGGTTTGTCAAAGCGCTCCTAAGCAGCGCTGAAATAAACAGGCTGCTGCTACCCCCCCCCACCCCCCAAACGCTCGCGTTCCGGGGGCAGCTTGTTGACGGCGCAGGAACGCGTCGGGCCGCCCGCGTCTCCGTACGCTCAGCGTTCCTAAGCACTAATTGATTGAGTCGCCACGTCGCAGAACCCGGAAGAGGATGCTCAGAGAGAGAATCTGCCTCGGCATAATCACCGCAGAGCTGCCGCTCGGGGCCCGGGAGACGCTGCAAGTTCCTCACGGATCGCACGGGAAAAACATGATCTAGAGCGGCCTTCCGAGTCCCACACAAAGAGTGCGAGCTCAGCGCTGTGCCTGCGGGCCGCTGGGAGAGGCAGCAGGTTACGTTTGTCCAGCTGGTGCATGAGTGAGTACCTCCCTCCAGCGGGGAGCTGGCCATCCGCACACTCCCAGGACTCCCAGATTATTATTATGCTCCTTGTTATTATTATTGTTATTGTTCCTGTTGTTATAATTGGTAGGTATAATTGCTTAGCTGATGCGTTTTTACTCATGCATAGAGCTGGATTTTTTGCAAATAAAAAGATTTAGCAATTCAGTACATAGTGCAGGGTGGACGGTCCTCACATTAGTGCTCAGTCTCCCTAACTCTGACCTGCAGGTTGCCCACATTTACGTATGAACTGCAGCTGGGATCTGAAGGAGTGCCATCAGGCTCCAGCTGTGTGCATGGAGTTCCCGAACCTTCCCTAATAAGCCTTTTTTTCTTGGGCTCTGTCTCCAGGGCAGGTGCAGACCTCCCAGGCTAAAAGACCTCTATGTTGTTGTGGGCCAGGGCTGGGCAGCTGTAGGACACCCTATCCCCCCTGACGCCGAGCCCCCACTAATGAGCCACAGCGCCGGGGAAGCCGAGACTCCGCCCCCTGCAAAAGCAATTGCCCCTCCACCAAAAGGTCGCAACACACCACTTATCAAGGAGGCGGGAAGTGCCATCAATAACCGGGTCCGGTTCTGACACCCGACTCAGGAAAGTCCGTTTCAGACCATCGCCCGGCTCCCGTGACGCTTCGGCGAAAACAGCAACAGGGTCTTTCTGGCTTAGCGGCGCGCGGGTCCCTCACGATGGGACGACAGCGTAACACGAGAATGCTCGGGGGCCCTGCCAAAACAAACCCCCCCCCCCCTTCCCGCCACACACCTTCGTGGGGACGTGTAACAAAAGACGCGGGATGAGGTGCGGGGAGCTTTGTGCTCTCGTGGGACGGGAAGTACACCTAATTCCAAATTAACTGCTGCGTGGTACATCTGCTGCCTCCCCACGACGTAATAAAACACCGAGCGCTGCCGGCCGTGACCTCATCCCGTTTACACATTTCATTTCTCAGGGGTCAGAAGCAGCAACAAGGCAGGGGTCGGCTCACTAATCCGGGACGCACAGGATGGAAAACCCAGGGCTTTGGGCGTGGCCTACAGCGAAGCCGCAGGAAAGCCGGGAGGGGCTGGCCGCAGAAAGTTCTCCGGTTTTATGGCCAGTGAGGTAGGGTGAAGGTGTAGCAGTGTGGCAGTTCAGATGGCATCACCATCAGTTCAGCGCCACCTGGTGTTCAGAACTGAGCATTCCAAAATGACGCTGACGTATCACATAGTATTCGAAATAATGACTTTCACCCCCAGA